GGGGAGGGCGGGGGCCGCGCCCCGACGGGGACTGGGGGGTGGGCAGGCAGGGGAGGCTCCTCCGTGTGGGGAGAACCGCGTAAGGCCGGGCTCTGTAAGGAAATGCTGCCGCGTGGGGTCAGGAGTTCGGCTTGGGTGAGTGCAGGCACACGGGGGTGGCTTGTTGGGCGGACCCTCTAGGATTTACCTCCGAAGAACGAGCTGCTGTTGTAGTTTTACAAACCCGAACCCGCGAGCAATCCTTCGGGAGGCAGCACGCGACCACACCAGGAAAAATGAGGAATCCTGCGCGGTTTTACAGTGGCGGCAGCGGGCCAGATAAGGATTTAAAAGCAAATGAGGCAGGAATTGATCAGTCCTGTTTCTGGCATCTGGTGTTGAGCCCTTGGAGGAATGCCCCGGCTGTGTCTGGGTCTCGCAGCCTCTGCGGTTTGACATTTGCCAGGCTGACGACAGACCCGGCGGGCAAGAGGTGGTCAGCCTCCGTCTCCCGGATTATTTAGCTTCAGTCCCTCCGGTCTCTTAGACTTCGGACTCCTTGCCCAGCTAACAGAGAGAAAATAAGCAAAGCACCAGTTTGGTTACAAGGTTTGCCCTGCAGAGCAGCGGCCTTACTTTGCATGCAGGGCTCTGCAGGGTGCAGCACTGGTTAGACAGATCCGTGTCCCTGCAGGAAAAGAGCCTGTCCTGCAACCTGCAGGGTCAGGGCGAGCCAAAACGCAGCTGCTGCTTTGGCTGGGAGGGCAGGAGTCCACTCATTTCAGCAGTGGTGTGGTCTTCATGCCAAGTGCAAGCTGAGCTTCACCTACACATCAGTTTCCATTTGTTTTCCAAGACCCAGATGATACCAGGCTGTTAAATTTCAGCCATCTTTGCATTTTTATTAGAAAATACATATAACAAAAACATGGAGGAGATGTTTTCAGCCTGTTGTAACTTGGTGCTTGGTGTCCATCTTTGGGGTTGTTTTTTTCTCATCTTTTTAGTTCTAAGTCCTAGTTCTTAAATGTATTTGCATATTTTCTTCGACTTCAGTTCTGTATGGTGCAGTGATCTAATCAAACAGCTCAGTGAACTCAGTGAGGCTTTTCTTGCTTTCTTTGTGTTAGTACTAGAATGGGCAACATCCTTTTATGAGCTGCTGTAAATAATTAAAATAGCATAAACCTGTTGTGATTTTCTACTGAGTTGTCAGAGCGGCCCACAGAATGAGTCGGTGAACATCTAAATCTGCACAAGGAAACAAAGCAATTTTCCCTGGTTTTATCTGCTTGTCAGTCTATGCGAGGCGTGCAGCTTCCTGAGAATCTGTAGCTTGGACTGGGTTATTGCAATTGTGAGGAAGGTCAGAAAATGCTGAGATGATGGGGCTGCACATATGAGTAACCTGAATAAAAATCTCTCAAATTATTTTAAATAAATAAATTCCTACCACATTATTTAATGGTGGCTGTAACTAAAGAGCTCAAACAAATTTTGATAAATCAAGTAAGAAAAATAATGCGTTTAATTATTCATGTTAATATATGCTGGGAAAATAATTTATCTTTCTTGTCAGATTTCAGATACACAATGCAGAAGAGGTTTCCATCAATTCTGGAAGGTGAGTTTGTAGTTGTTGGCTTCAGAAGGATGGCTGAAGCTTATGTTGCATCTTAATACATAAAACCGATCTTAGGCTGGCTTAAAACTTTCCCTGGGAGACACTGCAGAAGTTTTTATTGTTAAGGCATGGCTGGAGTGTCAGGCTGTTGGATAGAGATCTCAGAGCTGGAGGGTTATACACTGAATAAAACTAGCCACAAAGGGGCTGCTTGACAGATACGTCTAACTTAGAGCTGACATGGATTTTCCTATTTTTCAGTTTATTACAAATCCAATGAGTGGTCTGGAATTCATGGCATAAGGGAGAATGACCAGATGACATGGTTAAGCAGCAAGAACTGAAGTAAGAAAGATGTGTGATTAAATAAAAAAAACTATTTAAGAATAATTATTTTTAAAATGTCCACATCAAGACGTCCAGTTCATCGTCTTGATTTCTTGCCTTTGTACTTGTTTTTCAGCCCTCTGTGCCTGAACTGTTTCTTCTTTTTGATGATGCTTTTCACATCCCTGTTGTGAAGCCACTTGTCACGCTCTATTTCCCACTGGATCTGTTTGACATCTGTAGGAGGCAAGGTGAGAAATAAGGAGCCGATGGATACCTCTGACCATGATACGGCATACAGATGAATCATGTAAAAGTTAAAACTTGACTACTGTATTTATAAAAGTTAATAAAGTCCAGACTGCCTCGTTTTTTTTTTTGAGAAAGCCGTGGGTTTTTTCATTTCACAAAACAAACCCTACCATCTTAGTTTTACACATTGCTTTGTATTTTACTAATGCTAGACACATTTGTGTCAGGAGTAGTGTTTGAGTGCTCCTAACGTTTTTCAGGTGACACCAGCAAGACTTGTAAAAGCTTTACAAAGCTTTATTCAACCAACATATACACATGTAATTCATTAGAATTATTTTGGGAAAACTACTTTCTGCTTCACTGATACTGCAAGGAGACAGTCCAAGAGGTAGGGAAAGACAGCAATACCTTATGCCTTCCCAAGGAATGAAGGACACTTTACCTGAGCAGAATTCACACAGATACTTGACAAAGAGCATCCTGCCTGTCCCTATTTATGGTGTGGAAGAGCCAATGACAGCCTCTCCCTCTTTTCTGAAGCTTTATTCACTCCACTACTCCCAGTTAATATTTAGTGCTGGGAATCTCTTCTCACTGGAGAAAAATATCACATCGTACTGATGTTGAGCTACTGTCCCTGCTGTGTGTTCCTGACCCTGTATTCCAGTTAAAGGTGGTTCACCTTTTCACGTACAGAAGCTGAAGGGAAAGAAGTGGGTCTCAGCATTACAACTGCCTGCTACTTGCAGCGTGTACTTACTCGCATTGTCTCTGTTGGCCATGGCGTTCATTCCGATATTGTCAAACTTAGACCCAGCATTTTCATCCAGCAGATAGCCAAACTTTAAAGAGAGAAATTTTAGTATTCAGTATATTATTTAGTATTTTAGTATATTATTACCAAAGCAACAGGTAAAATGCTTGATCACTTTCTGTTAAGCACTGATCAAACTCACCTCTTCTGCAGATGCCAGTATACCAGCATCTTGGAGTTTTCTCTTCTTTCCTCGTCTGGGTCCTTCAAACAAAAAGTATTATTCTCATGAAACACAACTTCAAGTTCCCAAAGACACTAAAATAAAGTTTTACCACGTTTCAAATTTTTAGAATTTTTAATGAGATCATCTGAACTAGCAATGCTGGAAATCTTTGTTCCCCACCTCCCTTAAAAAAAAAGGGAAAAAAGTTTCCAACCAAGAATTAAATAGCACAAATCTGTGCATCAGGAGTAAGAGATGCACAAATCACCAGTACAACTCCATCCTTCTTCACAGTTCCTCCTTCAATTCTCATGTCTTCAACAGAAGATTGTTACTCTGAATTATGCTGGTTGGGGAAAAACCTCCTTTTCATTTATGGTTTATTCAAATCTGCACCTAGATCCAAAATGTGACAATCTACTGGTGTAGATCCCTCCATTCCAAAAGTTTTGGGCAATTTTATTTGTGTTAAGGTTTCATGTCAGTGTTTTCTTACCTTCCAGTGATCCCGCAAAATTCGTATCTTTCTTTTTCTTGCCCTTTTTACCAATGGATTTCAGTTGCACGTCATTGTTTGAGTCTGATGGGAAAAAAATCCAAATACATCAGTCTCCAATTTTCACACCATGTACATGTATATAAAGTGCAGCAGAGACTAAAATTCCTTTTTAGGCATATTTGTCTTAACGGTCCAAATCTTTGAAAGGCTGTGCACACAAGCAAATTTAGTATTTCCTCAAGCTGGACAATTAAAAATTGGTCTGTGGTGTGCTGTTCTTTATGTCTTTTCCACAGCACTAGAAAGGAATGACATTATGATACATAAAATAACAAAAGCTAAAAGCAGGCGTTAACCTCGAATGACTGCATGGTAAGTCTGGTGAAATAATAATCTCATTAAAGACTGCGTTAACAACTGTACAAACAGTTTACCTCCTCTACCCTCAGTCATCTTCCTGTGACCTTTAGTTATTCATTGAAATACTCCATTAATCTCTGCTTCTCCAGGCACATGTACTCTATTCTGTGTTAACTCTGCTTTTCAGGTGAAAAAATAAAAGCATGCAGGTACAAGAATCAGTTACTACTACAGTGGTAGTAAAAACTTGAGTGCATAGCTGTATTACAAGAGTAAGCTGTTATTTGTAAGACAGACATTTCTATAAAAGTTCATCTAAAGAGGAAATCATCATTAACTATGTCTAAAGAAATACAAAAATTACCAATTACCAGAGTTTTTATTTTTCTTCTTGAGCTCTTCTAACATTTCTGCCTACTGAAGCCAGTTATTTGTGTATAAAGCTACTGTTGTTATGCCAATTTTCAACATGAAAGAAACATATCTCATTTGGAAGTCTTTATACACAGATGCCTAATTCCCACTCTCGCCTAGGAGACTGTGCCAGGAAATGCTTCTCTTAAGACTAAACTGTACAGAGAAAGACTTGCCCTTTCTTTGCTTAAAAGCCAAACTTCCCACCTAGGTAACTAAACTGGAATTTGCATATCTAGTTGCATATTAGATAACCTATTTTTAAAGCTTTTTCTTCTTGTTTTTTGGTAACAAATGGCAGTTTACCTAGGTCGTTATCATCTTCAGACACATCCATAAATACACCTCCCTCTTCATCCATATCCTCATCAAAGTCTTCCTCCATACTTCCTAAGGAGACTTCCTCATCATCCAGATCGCTGAAGTCATCTTCATCATCAGAATCCTCCCAGTCAGCACCAGATCCCTTACCACCTTGGCCTTTCTTGCCTCCTTTGGGATTTTTTTTTATATTACTAAAAGAAGATGTAACAAGCTTAGCGTTTCATCTGGAAAAATATGGTTTGCATCTAGATCTACTATGTATCTACTGGCAAACACTATGTTAGGAAAGTTCAACATCATTGGAAACTACTGCAAATGTAGGCTGCAACCTAAAATATACATGTTATACACTCAGGTATTTTTTCAACATTAGTATAGGCAGTTGTATTATAAAAGTCAACCATTTGAAGACATTCTGGAGAGAATCCTGTTCTGAAATCAGTAGAAATGACAGCTTCAGTATTTTATCTCCTCTGTGTGTTTGCTCCTTTTCAGAAAGTCTTTTCTGCAAAACACACAGACTGCTCTATTAAACACCAGTCAAGATCACAAAAATGTTTCAGGTTTCACAAGTAGTTTAGACTTTAATTCTGCTGTCACCTCAAGGAAAAAAGGTCTCTGTACAAACTGAAACCCTGCGTTATACTTTGAGTAAAACGGAAGCTACTTAATCATTTACAATTGGACTTGATGAACCTAAAGGTCCTTTCCCACCTAAATGATGCTATGATTAATCAAAGTGCTGACTTCAGGAGAGTTGAGCTCTGTGACTCTGGATCTCACAAAGCTTATTAACTGTTAGGTCCAGTTACAACCAGTCCTTATGGCAGCAGTGCCATTATTCTTCATTCTACTTCCTTTTGTACTCGGTACAAAATAGATTGAGACCTGAGACAATGAAAAATAAAATTTTACACTGCTTACTGCATCACTCCATTGTACAAAATAAACAATTAATTAATTAATTAAGATAATCAAAGACTACAGGTCTCATTTAAGGACTATAGGCATACCAAGGTCATCATGAACTATTATGGGACATGCAGAAAACCTGCATAACTCAGTGTAAAATTGATAATGCTTTTTTTGCAAGGTAATAGTCTGAGTCATTCTGAAAAAGGTCTATCCAGTTTCACAGAGTAAATCTCTATGTAGATATTAGACAAGAAGATTAAGAACTAATTTGAAATCTTACCCAGCAAAATCAAGGTCATCCTGGCCAACAACAGCATTATCAGCAGCTTCAAAAGTATCTGGGGAAAAAGAAAAATGTTATTACGACAAAGAAATATGCAAGTCATTGCATCTAGCAAGTACATAGACCTGTTGGGAGAAAGTCCAGAGGAGGGCCACAAAGACAATTAGAGAGCTGGAGCACCTCTCCTAGCACAGAAGTTGTCCAACCTGGAGAAGAGAAGACTTCAGGGTTACCTTATTGAGGCCTTCCAGTACCTAAAGGATGCTACAAGTGAGATGGAGAGGGACTTCTTCCACGGGCATGTAGTGACAGGACAAGGGGGAATGGCTTCAAACTGAAACAGAGTTTAGACTAGGTATCAGGAAAAAATTCTTTACTGTGAGGGTAGTAAAGCACTAGAACAGTTGACCAGAGAAGCTGTGGATGCCCCATCCCAGAAAGTGTTTAAGGTCAGGTTGGATGGAGCTCTGAGCAACCTGGTCTTGTGGGAGGTGTCTCTGCCCATGGCAAGAGGAATGGAATGGGATGATCTTTAAGGTCCTTCCAACCCAAACTATTCTATGATTCTAGCATTGCAAAATATCCAATTTTCAGATATAGGGTCATTATTTTAAGCTTCTGAATTTATGAAGCAAATTATCGTTAGAAGTACTAATAGAAGACAAATGAAATTAGTAACAGATTCTTGTCACAACTAAGACCACATTAATTGAGTCTCTAAGAACCCTGATAAAATAATGTAGCTTTCTCTCAAAATATGTACAAAACAGTTATGGAGAATTAACCGTATTGGTTTTTTAAATACATATAAGTAAAATTTAAAATAATGGACATTTTATGGTACACTAACAAATTTACATTCTGGAAGAAATCATACACTAATTCCAAAGCAAAGTATGTGCTACAGGAATAGCTAAGGCTACTGCAGAAGTTTACCAATGACCTTACTGAACTCACAAAAGACATTAGAAATTATGAGAGAAACTGTAATCGAGACTGAAAAAGGCCAAGCAGTAAAGAAAAATTAGAGGTAAATGTCACATGCTGTTAGAAGAGGTTACTCAGACTACATTAGGAAAAGAACAAAAGGGCATGAACTGCTACTCATAAGTTCAAAATCAGACAATTTCCAGCCCCTCAAACAAGCTGACTATTGCCCTGGTGGGAGCAAGGCCGCTTTTACAAATGACCACCCAGCTGGCTCACACAGCAGATAACAGGAACTGCGGTCTGCAGTAGCACAAAGAGCAACTGGAAAGCAAATTTTCTCCCACTCCCACATTCCTCTATCTGGTTCTTTTACGCAACATGAACTATAAAAAGGATAAATTAGTAATTTGAAAAATCTGGGAACACTGGGGTAGTTACTGCATCCTACATTCCTACAGCCTTACCCAATGCTCTTTCAAATTCATCATCATCCACATCTTCCACACTTTCTTCGTCATCCAGACGCTTCTGTTTCTCTCTCTTCGTATCGAACTTTGAATAAAATCTGAAATAATACATTGCTCTCAGATACAAAATTACAGATGATCTTTATGACTTTTTTAACTAAAAAAACCTGCAAAATCATTCACTACTGTAATATTTAAAACAATGAAACTTCACTGGCCAAAGGTGGCAGAAGTTATTTTCAACATAATGAATTTATTAAAGTGCACCACAAAGATGTAAAAATCCACCTTAAGCTGAGAAGGAAGAAAGGATCAAATTAAATTTGATTATAATTGGGAAAAATAAAGAAGACATTCACCAATCAAGTTTTATTAATTTTTCTCACATAGCCCGCTTCTTTTGGGTCTTAGTTTTATCTTCTGTCAGCTTTATTCACCTTCATTTCATGTCAAAGAACCACCAAACACAGAAGGCAATTTTGACCAGATACAAAAGAGTATTTTTTATGTAAGACTTTAAATGTACCATCTCAGTTTCAGCCATCTTCAATGTAACAATACTGTTAACTTTTCAGACAGGAGAGTTTTTAATCTCTTTAATCTCAAAACTAACACCACTATTTTATTTATTTATTAGTAGTATATTCCTCAATTATCGTATCAATAATTTATAATAAATGAAGTTAATTCAAATAATAATTTCCTAAGGAGACATAGGTAATCAGTATTTTGATCTAATAAAAACAAATCTTTGCCAAATGCATATCACTTCAATTTTAGTACTACAAGTGCATTTTAATATCATAATCTCAAAGGAAATTCAAAGAAACAGAAAGAACTATAAGTAATAAAAAACTAAATATTCTGAAAAGTAGCTCCTCTGACTTTCTTTTGCTTTGTTCCATTCTAATAAGCTTTGATGCTAATAACATAAGCTATATTCCAGCTTTCATTATATATACCTCTAATGCACGAGAATTACAGCCCACAAAATATTCATTATTACCCATTACTTAAGGCTTCTCTATTATAATGTCAGCTTACTTAATTTACTTAAACTACAATCCCAAATTGCTCTTGTTTGTAGGTGATACCCTTTCCTAAGTGCTTTTGACAAATGTTAAAATTATGTCTAAGAAAAGCACTATCATCTTAAGTCACTCAAATCAACCAAAACTTGCAAATACTTTAAATACCAGAGAATACTAACAAAATGCAGTGGGCTTTAATGGCATTGCATCAAAAAAACAACACTTAAAATGAACATTCACAGGTATTCCATTACCTGTGAAAGAACACTTCATCTACCGGGATTTTGCTTTCGTCTTTGGCCCGGAACTCCTTACTGTTGACTGCAAAAACAAAATAACTGATTTTACCCCAAGTTGAAATGCTGGTTATTCTTTCCAGAGGCTAAGCAGCACACACAGACAGAAGTAGACACACAGTGTCATTCATTCAATAATGGGGAGCTTTTCTGAAAACCTCTTCCAACTAACACAGTGCCTATACTGTACTGCACTGTGAAGTATGGAAAAGACCCTCTGGAAAAACTCCAGTGGCACAGCCCTAACCAGGTTCTCGGTTATGTATCAGCAAGGCAGGGGGACACAATCACCTACAGCAGGAATACATTTAAAACAGTAACGGGAAAGAAAGTGGGGAGTAAGATGAACTTGCTGCCATGCACTAGAACACTGAATATACAGTTCCCTGGCAGCAGAAATGCTTGTCAGGAGCTGCAGAGCATGCGCCAGCTGAGCACATCGAGGAAGGGATCAAGCCTCCACTTGCCTCCATTTCTGAGGAACTGAGGCAAAATATGACAATGCAAAGGCAGATCAACTAAGGTAATGACCAGGAATCCTGTGGAGGAGCTTTTTACCCTCTCACATTCCCCTTCCCACCTGCTCAAAATTAAATCAAAAGAAGAAAGGCTACGGATTATCTCAGTGGGTACGGATTACAATAATTTCTAAGTGACACGGGTCCAAGTTTCTGAAGCCAGATCAGCACGCTCACAGAAGGACTCTTCAAATTAACAGTACAAGGTACCAGAGGATTTTCAATCTCAGCTCTCTACACCTCAGCAGAAATCAGCTACATGCAACAACTGCAGACTTCTGTAGCCATATTAATATATCTCTATTTTTGTATCATGTTTAATTTGTAAAACACTTAAATTCCCCAAATTCTGTCCTAAATCCTTAGTCTGCTCCTTCAACTGAGAATAAACTAAAGAATGTGGTAGAGTGCATAGGCTAAAATTTCTGCTGAGCTTTACCAGCCATAAAACCAGCCACAAAAGTACATCAGTACTTACTAATCTGTATAATTACAACCTCTTTGCAACGCAACAGAGCCAAAGCTGGTGCAAAAGCACATCCCTGGGAATGCTACAGAGACTCGACCATAGAAGATGGTACCTCTTCTTCCTCAAGCATCATGTTTTACTGATAGTTTGCTCTGTTTTTTTAACTGCTGGTTCTTACACCAAATCCTACTCTTGATTGTTGGAAACAGTGGGATTGGATAAAAGGCAGTTTATTTCTGGAGGCAGGAAGACTCTTAGCAAAATAACAGTGCCAAAGATACCTTACACTCATCCTAACAGCTGCAGCTGTGGCATTGTATGAAGTAATCTGTATCATTTAATGAAAGAACTTAATGTGATTTAAATAATTATATAGATCTATTTTTCTGGTATTTAAGCCATTTTTTTTCAATCATAATAAACAGAATAAAAATGGCTATAGAATAATTGGCTTTCTCTACATCATTTTTTCTTCAAATGATTCAACAGATCCAATGTTCCATCTGTGAAGATTCTATACATCTTTACAAGAAGATGAGGTCTGATCCTGAACATCAGGCATGACCACTGCACTCCTGATGGACGGCACCTTCTTTTATTGCTACGACAAACAGCACAGACAGTGCAGATGACACATCTACATCAACCAACCAAGGATTTTTTAGTCATCATAATCTTAACTAACTTAAGGGGCTGACTTACCTGCAAGATTTTGCATATCCTTCATAAACTGCTTCTTCTTCGGCTGCATTACCACACTGCTGGTGTTTTCTGCATCAGAATATAAATCAGAAATAAATGTTTATTTTATTGTTATTTTATTATTCTATTGATACAGAACTGTTCAGAGCAGCTGACAGACCAGTGGGCTGTGCTGCCATCCATAATGACCTCAAGAGGATGGAGAAATGGGCTGACAGAAACCTCCTGCAATTTAACAAGGGGAAGAATTTAACAACCTTCCTCGCTGAAGGAGGAAGAAGCCCAGGTACCAGTATACACTGGGAAATGCCCAGCTGGAAAGCACCTTGGCTAAGAACACTCTGGTAGTCCTGGTGGACACACAGTTGACCATGAGCCAACACTGAGTCCCTGCAGGAAAGAAGGCTGATGGTTTTCCTGGCACTTGTCAGACCACACTTGGAGCCGCATGCCCAGGTCAGGGCTCTCCAGTTCAAGACAGACATGGGCACACTGGAGAGAATCACATGATGGATCCCTAAGTTGATAAAGGAGACTCCACCTGAAAACCTGGAAACACTTTTTTACTGTGAGGGCAACTGTGCACTGGCACAAGTCGCACAGAGAGGCAGAGTGGTCTCCACTCTTAGAGACATTCAGGTCACCTGCAAAGTCTACTCTAGGTGTCTCTGCTTGAGCCCCCGAATTCAGAGGTCCCTTCTAGCCTCAACCATTCTGTAGTGTTTACATCTCTCTGTGTCTTGCTCATTCCTGCCAATAAGCAGTTCTGCACTGCAGTGTGAGGGGCAGCAGGATGTGACTGTCAGCTGGTTCCAGGTTGCAGACATCTCTCTCACAGCCCTGAAGACTGATCCCACTCCTCTCTTCCATCACATGCACCCCAAACACTTGGCAAGGCCAATCTGAGAGAATGAGAATTTGGACAGCAGCTATAACCACATGGCACAGAGAAGTGCCTACCTTTGCCTTTGCTGAGTTTGGGATTTCTGTACACAAAGCGATCCAAGAATCTCATTAATGTGAAATCCTGCAAAGGGTCACCAGAGTATTGAATGTGATTCCCCTGAAAGAAGGAAAAAGCCAAAAAACATTGAAGTCTTCATTTTAGAAAGACACCATCTAAATACAGAGGACTCAATCAGTTCAACAACATGAAAACCTACTTTAAAAAGATAAAGACTTAGGGATACTATACTACATAACCCTGACCTGGTTGGTTTGAAAAACCTGAAATTTTTGCAATTTCACTATTTTCTTAACTAAACCACACCTCCTTTGCTTTGTTTCAGTGATAAACTGCCTTGCAATGTACTATGCTAACAGCAGTTAATACTCAACATCATTTCAATACCATATAGTCAAATGAAAAAGAAATATTTTAAATACATATTTGTGAAAGTTTGAGTGGTTTTGGCATGGTACCACAACAGTATTTAAAAAAGAATTTGTTACTGTAGTAGGGGTCCTCATATTTAAAAAAAAATAAATAAAAAGATACAAAAAAACTCTAATCAAGTTTTAAGAATCATATAATACCCACATGAAATTAAATTAAGTTAAATTAAAACTTTTGTGAGCAGTCTCCTTCACATATAACATTGTAATTCCATTAAAAGCTTGGCATTTGAGAGTATGATAGAGTTCCACAGAGCTGCCAGCTACCCACAAAGTGCAAGGAGACTTTATAACATGTTTTTTCAAATGGCAAGACACCTAACAAAGTATCAAACATCAAAGCAACAAAGCAACAAGCTAGCAAAAGCACTTACTTCTAGAATTGTTTTTGCAAACAGGGCCACAGACGGATGAAAGTGTTCAGAAAGCTGAAAAACATGAGTCAGTCATTTATTTCTAATTACAAAATATGCTGTAAGACCACTCTGTGATTTACCAGATAACTGACATACACATAGTAGTACAAGGCTGATGAAGCATTTTAGCTACTGAAGAACTTCAAGTTCTGATCTTTTATCTGCATAAAATAAATTTTCATCCAACAATTTTATTTAAGTCAACACTAAAAAGCTTTAATTATCAAAGCTAAGATCCAATAGTCAAAAAATATTATTGCTGTCCATATCTCCACTTAAAAGATTCCTATTCCCTACTCAAGAATATCAGTATTGTATGGAACATACACAAGCTAAAAGCTGAACAGTGTGCCAGCTTTAACGTTTCTGTTGTTACTCAAGTAGCTACTTCAAGAATAACCAAGTTCTTTTTACTCTCTCGGTACAAGGGCCACACTTATAAACATATCAACAGCAATGCAAGGATGTCCTACCTTCTTCAATTCCCAAAGGCTTGTACTTTCAGCACCACAGTATAAAGGACTTCGGTGCATAGGGTCATAGGAAGCTCCACTCTTCCTGCCTGAAGGGTGGAGGGATGCAAAACAAATTTTCTCAGGCAACTTTACAAGAATATTATTCTCATTTCCCCATAAGAGTAATGCTGCCCATCACTCCCAGCTGGACAGGCCAGGGGCTCATCTGGCAGCAGGAAAAGCTGCTTTCAGCTGCCCTTCACAGAGTAAGATCAGGTGCACAGGCTAAATTCATGCCTGCCTCCAAGGAAGGCCCTGAAAAGCCCTGGCCTGTTCCAGAAGCCTTCTGGGAGGAGAGAAACTGGGCACAAGTTCAAAGCTGGACAAACTGTTCTAGCAGGCTTCACAAGCCAGAGAGCAGCTGCACATCCTAACCTTGGCTATACTGCTTGGAAGGTGCTTGAACATGGAAGCAAATAACTCCAGGCCCATTAACAGCTAAGGCACAAATAATGTGTTTATTACAAACTGCATCAAGTGAAATACACTAGTCATAGAGTCTTTTCATCACTGCTGAGGTAACAGATAAATTGCTCTGACTGGTTGCTTTCAACCAAACTTCAATTTAAAAACTTAAATAATGTTTAAATCACTTAATTTAATACAACAACTCTTGACCAACATGTCACTGTTATGGACTCTTAGCTGCTAAATTATATATTTTCTTGCTGATTTACCTCCCATATTCAGATGATGCACCCACGAGGCTGATGAATCTGAATTGCTTGTTTTAGCAGAACTTTCTATTGTAGTTCTCTTTTCATCTTCTACTTCTTTGTCAGCATCTGCAAATTTTTCCTCATCCTCTTCAGCCTCTTCTTGATCCTTAAAGCACTCTTCATCATCTGACTCCTAAAAAACAAAAAACGTTAGCAAACAGCTTTACCTTTCCAAATTTACTCTGATTTTTTAGAAAAATGCACATAAAGTTCTTGAGCTACTTAAAAAATCTAAACAAATGATGGCTGATGTTTAAGAAATACAGATTTTGTCCACTTTAAATTGAACTTTACTCCTTAGAACACACAACTACAATAGTCCCTCCCCACCTCAAGAAACATCTTAGCAAATGGTTACTAATTAACAGGTTAGGAAAAGGTGCTTATGAAAACAGCTCTTATTGAAAAAGCAATGAGATATAGAAATCATCTTATACCACATGATCCTGTAACTGGACCCTTAATTCTGGTTTTACTTTCAGAAGCTCAGACAGAAGGTAGAGGGTTCCACAAATGAAGGGTGGCATTTGTCCACAAGTGACTTGAAGTAGCCTCTTCACAAAGGCCTTCACACGCCGCAACACGACATCTGCCTTCAGAGACTTATAGATAAGATTTAGAAACATGGATGGCTTGGAGCAGGTTGCTAAAGCAGGATCTAGAAGCTTCCTGTAGGACACACAGGAGAAATTTTGCTGATTGTCACGATGGACACGAGAGAACAACTGCTATTAACAGCAATTATCTACATTTTTCAGAGTGCCATCTAAAACACTAGTGACAGTTTGCTGCTCAGTACTCAAAACCATTAAGATCAATCCTGAGCTGTCAAGAGCTGTCATGAGACACTGAAGATTCAAAAACAAACAAAAAAAAAAACTGGCCTCAGCAAACAAAATATTGGAAGAAAATAACAAGAAACTGAGCTCAACTGAAAACAGTCGCGAAATTTGAGTTATTCAATGTTAACCTGATTTGTTCATATGTTTAAAAAAATAGACAGCAAATGGTTAAAAATCAGCACAGTTCACAATCAGATCAGATATTTGTACCGGCAAGTTCATTTTCTGCTCCAGTTTCTTTCCAGGCTGCCAGGTACAGTAAGGCCCTTGAATACACTGCACATTCTCCAAGAACCTGAATTCCCTTTTTAAAAAATCAGTAACTTCCCTCTAAGAGGTCATCGAAACAGAAACCTGTAAGGATCCTATGAAGAATCTAAATCAGCTGGGACAAGAAAAAAGCAGTATTTTTATAACACAAGGCTTTCCAGCTACACAAATTAAATCATCTAAAAAATTTAAGATAATATTCCTCCTTCTCAAAATATGGGAAAAAGAAAAAGGAAACAAGATTTTAGGCTATTTACAGGCCTAATTTACAATTACTTTTACCTGTAAAAGTGATTTCAGAAGAAATAGTTATCAATTAGTTTCAAATAACATCTGGAAGTAAAGCAAGCCACCAGAAGAGTGGCAAAGGATGAAATGCATCTGTGTTCTCAGGGCCTATCACTACCTTTTGTTTTTATCCCCATATTAAGTCAAAGAAATCACATGCACTTTCTTCCAGCTCCTACAAAACATCAGAAATTTTAGCCAACAAAAAACAAAACTAGCAAGATCTTAAAAGCAAAGCATTTCTACACCTTTAAATTAATGGTGACTACCTCTTAAAATGAAATCTATATAAAAATGCAAACCTGCCACTTACTTGTACAGCGCTGCATAGTACCTGTCTGATACAGTCTGCTGAGAGTCCATCACCTGAAACAGCAACATCAGGGCCTGGACACTGGTACTGAAGTTCACAAGGTGCAGAACTTTGAACAAGGTGTTCATTTGCTCTTTCACTTTCTCATCACCAGTCTCAGCGTAAGGGTAAGCTCTGTTTACCCCACAAAGAAGAGCACTGAGCATTTTGGATTCAACATCTTTTTTCTTAATACAGTTCCGGAAAAAGCAGAAGTACAAAGTTATCAGCTTGTTAGCCAATGCACTTTCCTCATGACTGAGGACTATCTGATTTAGAAAGCAGATAGCATAATATTGAGTTTTCACATTGATGTTTGAGCGGTACAAAAGCCTCTCCACCTCACTGCACACTACTCCCTTCATATTTGGATGCTTGTGAAGTAACGTCTCTAAAAGATAAGAGGCTTTGGTGGCGATCTTGTTCTGAGGGTCACCCAGTTTATTCACCAGCAGAACCAGCAGAGCTTTCTCCTGCTCGGGCTTGTTACAGAGCAGCTCGTGGGAAACCGCCAGCGCTCGGGATTTTGTGGCTGTCAGACAATCATGGCTCAGTGTTTCCAAGGCCTGCACAAACTCTGCTATCTGCAGCTTCAGGTGATGCTCAAAGTACCAAAGGATCAACCGCCTGTCTCTTGAATCCTTGTTGCCGCTCGACATCTGCACTATGTTGTTAAGCGGTCGCTGCGAGAAAGACCACAATTTCCGATTGTCCGGCAAGATATCTGTAATGAGAAGCTCCTTGAAAGTATCTAAAGCCATAAGGCTCTGCTGCCTGCTGCCCTTTTTCTTTATGAGGTTTATCAAGCTCTCAACGAACTGGAGACTGTGGACAGCACTGTCCTGGATGAGAAGGGTCATCGCTGCCATCCTGTCAGCCAAGGTACCCGAGGACACAACAGTTTTAATCCACGCTGAAGAGGCCCCCTTCTGATAGTCTGTCTTATTCTTAAACAGGTCTGTCTCATGTTCATACAGCTTTTGCGCCAGGGCCTTATACTTGGACAAAAGCGTTTGATTCTGTGGCTCGGGAGAGAATTCACTGGTGTATTCTAGATCATACCACTTGCCCCCCGGTTTGATCAGGATTGCTTGCCTCGCATGAAATTCAAAATCATCTTCCAGCCTTTCTTTCTTTGTGGAAGGCTGTTGGCCCTGATCACCGCCAGACTGCTTCTTCTTGCTGTCTTTCACACTGCTTGCCTTTTCCTTTCCTTTTTTTATTGTTTTCCCCTCTAGCGAAGGATGATTTGTTTCCTTCTTGCTTTTCTCTTTCTTTGGAGGCTTCTCCTTCTCCTTGCTGCCGCCATCATCATCCTCATCCCCCTCCACCACCAGGCAACTCTTTGCATACTTGTTGAGCCCCAGAGAGCTGACGAACGCCTCCAGCTCCCCTTCCTTCAGGTCATCGATCGTGTCCTTCTTGCCGCCGTCCACCATCTCGGCCTCCGCGTCCAGGGCACACAGCATGAGATAATCTTGCTGCGGAGACAGGGCACAGCTGTCACCGGCAGATCTGGTACAAGGTTTGCCAAAACTCCCAAAGGTTCTGCACAGAATCCCTGAATGGTTTGGGTTGCGGGGGGAACCTTAAAGACCATCTAGCTCCAACCCCCCTGACGTGTTCAGGGACACCTTGCCCTGGCCTTGGGCACCTCCAGGGATGGAGCATCCACAAGTCCTCTGGGTAACCTGTCCCAGTGCCTCACCACCCCTGAGCAAAGAACTTGTTCCCACCATCAGCGTGGCACCCCGCGCACCGGGCGCCCCTCAAGGGCCCGTCCCGGGATGGGGGTCCCGGCCGCCACGTGCTCCGCTGCCCCCCGCCCGCTCCCTTACCTTGGTGCCGCCGAGGCGCAGCACCTCGTCCAG